TTACTACAGTGGCAAATTAAAATTCACCTAATAATTATTTCATTTTTAAAATGCATTTAATTTTAATGATCTACTTGCCTTTTAAAATGTTATTATTTTTAAACATTTTTAAAAATTTGTTATTAATATTATTATTACTTAATTATTATTAATTATATTATTCATTAAAAATTATTTTATTGATAACTTTAAATTTACTTTATAACAATTATTTCTGCTCAGTTTTAATTTTAATGTGCAAAATCAATATTTAAATATATATAAAAAACCTTTAATTATAAAAAAACATTTGTTTTTATTTTCTTTAAATGTATTTATTTTTTATTTATTTATTTGTCATATTTACAGTATACTAATGTCTTGTAATAAGCTTTTATATGATGTATTATTGAATAGAAATGGTTTTGTTAATCAGTGTTTGCTTGGTCTTGTGTTCCTCCATTCATGATCTGTTTGTCTTGGTTGTGTTTTGCAGGTTGAATGTGATTTTCAGCAGGTTTGATGACGTTCAGCGGTCTGGACTCATGATTGTGTGTGCCGGTGAGTGAATCTCCTCTCTGTGTGTGTTTTAATCAGCTCTAGATCTTCTTCTGCAGTCAGTGAAAGGGTTTCAGCTGCTGTGTGAATTTACTGCCACATTAACTGAGCTCCTGCAGTGTGGGAAACATTCACTGCTCCTGTTGTTCAGCCTATTGTTTCCTCACTGCCCCACTTTCACTCTGAATCTCTGTGTGTGTTTTTACTTTAGGTGTGTGTGCTGTGTGTGTGTTTGTGTGTGTACTGTGTTGTGTTTGTGTGTCTTTGTTTATGTGTGTGTTTGTGTTTATGTTTTCAAGTATATGTGTGTTTGTTATCAGGTGTGTGTGTGTGTGTGTGTGTGTACTGTGTTATGTTTGTGTGAACTGGGTTGTTTTTGTGTGTCTATTTTTTAAGTCTTTGTTTACCTTTGTGTTTGTGTGTGTGTGTGTGTGTGTGTTTGTTTACGTGTGTGTGTTTGTTTGTTTGTGTGTGTGTGTGTGTGTGTTTGTTTGTTTATGTGTGTGTGTTTGTGTGTATGGGTTTACTGTGATGTATTTGTATGTCTTCGTTTACGTGTGTGTGTGTTTGTTTATGTGTGTGTGTGTTTGTTTGTTTGTGTGTGTGTGTGTGTGTGTGTGTGTGTGTGTTTGTTTGTGTGTGTGTGTTTGTGTGTATGGGTTTACTGTGATGTGTTTGTATGTCTTCGTTTACGCGCGTGTGTGTGTGTGTGTGTGTGTGTGTTTGTGTGTACTGTGTTGTGTGTGTGTGTTTGTCTTTGTAAGTTTTTTTACGTGTGTGTGTGTGTGACTGTGCATATATTGTGTTGTGTTTTTATGTTTGTGTGTGTGTGTGTGTGTGTGAGTGTGTGCGTGTGTGTGTGTGTGAGTGTGTGCTTGTATTCCTTTGTTTACGTTTGTGTGTGTGTGTTTGTTTAAGTGTTTGTGTGTCTGTGTGTGTAGTGTTTGGATGGTTGTGTTTGTGTGTGGTTGTGTGAGTATACTAGTGTTTGTGTGTGTACAATTGGTGTGTGTGTACTGTGTTTTATTTGTGTATGTTGTGTTTGTATATTTTGTTTACGTTGAATGAAGGTGTGAGCATGTGTGTGTCTGTGTGTGTGTGTGTGTACTTTGTATGTGAATGTTGTTGTGTAGTGTTTATGCCTGTGTGTTTATGTATGCATATGTGGGCATGCTAGTGTTTTTGTGTGTACTGTTAGTATGCATGTGCGTGTGTGTGTGTGTGTGTGTGTGTGTGTGTGTGTGTGTATGATACATGTGTGAAGTGTGCATGTATTGTGATGTATTGTGTGTGCGCATACTGTGTGTGTTGTGTGCGGGTTTTTTGTTTTCAGGTGTGTGTGTGTTTGTGTGTTTGTGTTTTCAGGTGTGCGTGTGTTTGTGTGTGTGTGTATGTGTATGTGTACGGTCTTATGTTTGTGTGAACTGGGTTGGGTTTGTGTGTTTGATTTTCAATTCTTTGTTTACATGTGTGTGTTTGTATGTGTGCTTGTTTATGTGTGTGTTTGTTTGTTTGTGTGTGTGTGTGTGTGTGTGTGTGTGTGTGTGTGTGTGTTTGTATGTGTGCTTGTTTATGTGTGTGTTTGTTTGTTTGTGTGTGTGTGTGTGTGTGTTTGTATGTGTGCTTGTTTATGTGTGTGTTTGTTTGTTTGTGTGTGTGTCTGTGTGTGTGTGTGTGTGTGTGTGTGTGTGTGTGTGTGTGTGTGTGTGTGTGTGTGTGTGTGTGTGTGTGTGTGTGTGTGTGAGAGACTGTAGGTTTGGTTTGGTCTGTGGAATGTGGACGGGCTTCATCTGTTCTAGTTTTTTCTTCTAATCAGCGATTCTCAGTTTACACACACACACACACACACACACACACACACACACACACACACACACACAGGAATAATATCCAGATGAAGAATACATATAAAAAGATGAAGTAATGAGGGCGACACGGTGGCTCAGTAGTTAGCACTGTGGCCTCACAGCAGGAAGCTTGCTGGTTTGAGCCTCGGCTGGGTCAGTTAGCATTTCTGTGTGGAGTTCGCTTGTTCTCCCCGTGTTGTGCTCCGGTTTCCTCCACTGTCCAAACACATGCGGTATAGGGGAGATGATAACTAAATTGGCCGTAGTGTAAGAGTGTGTGAATGAGTGTGTATGGGTGTTTCCCAGTACTGGGTTGCAGCTGGAAGGGCATCCGCTGCGTTAAACATATGCTGGAATAGTTGGTGGTTCATTCTGCTGTGGCAACCCCTGATGAATAAAGGGACCAAACCGAAGGAGAATGAATGAATGTGTGCATGACAGTGTAATGGTAATAGATGGTAATATTTTACAAGATGGTAATATTTTACAGCATCTCTGTGATTCTGCATGACTTTGTCTTGCGCTTGTTTGACTTTCGTAGGTCTGTAGGGGTTTTACCTATTTTATGGTCCACAAGGTGATTGGACGCCCCAAAAACTGCTCTGTATTTTCCTTTACTTTTTTAATTGGGTTCCCCATTTATTTTCCTTCAGCTTAGTCCCTTTATTCATCAGTGGTCATCACAGCGGAATGAACTGCCAACTATTACAGCATATGTTTTACACTGCGGATGCCCTTCCAGCTGCAACCCAGTACTGGGAAACACCCATACACACATTTACTACGACCAATTTAGCTTACCCAATTCCCCTGTAGTGCATGTGGTTGGACTGTGGGGGGAACCGGAGCACACGGAGGAAACTCACACCAACACGGGGAGAACATGCAAGCTCCACACAGAAACAGCAACTGATCCAGCCAAGACTTGAACCTCCTTGCTGTAAGGCCACAGTGCTAACCACTGAGCCACTGAAAATAAGTTTGTTTGTGTGATTGATGCTTTATTTGGGTCCAGTTTTCCCATACAAACACTTAAATCAAGATTTGAGAAGCAAAATTAAAAACATATCAAGTCTTGCTTTTTAATTATAATAATTTTTGCATTTCTGAGTATCATTTTGAAAAATTTGTCAAAATTAATTGTTTGGTTTAAAGCAAGGCAGCAACTGTGTGGAGTTTGCATGTTCTCCGGGTGTTGGCGTGCGTGGGTTTCTTTATATTTGATGAACTAAACTGGCCGTAGTGCATGAGTGCGTGTGTGGATGAGAGTGTACGGGTGTTTCCCAGAACTGGGTTGCAGCTGGAAGAGCAGCTGCACAAAACATGCTGGAATAGTTGGCGGTTCATTCTGCTGTGGCGACCCCTAAAGAATAAAGGGACCAAACCAAAGGAAAATGAATGAATGAATAACACAACACAGCAGCACAACATAACAATAACATTATATAATAATCACACCATAACAAAACGAAAATAACAACATAAAGCTACACAAAATTACACAATCTAGCAGAATGATATTGCAATAACCTTATATAACATAGCATAACATATAGATGAAACCCCAAATGGCACAAAAGCATCAAAGATCTACACCAGATAAATGTATTTACACATCATCATACACATTATTTAAATTAATTTAATTTAATTATATGACTGAAGCATTCATGTTAATTTACTTCATCAAAGCTCATTAATGCTCAGATTAAACCGTTAGTGAGTTAAGTGTGCGCTGTTCCTTTAAATGTGAGTGAGGTCAATGGAGAGGGAGTCGCTGCAGATTCTGTGTGTGTGTGTGTGTTTGTGTGTTCAGTCATAAGACCAGAGAAACACACACACACACAGATCTTCATCGCTGTAACTCAAGCGTGTGGAGATGACAGCAGGAGACGGTAAGATGTGTTTTATTCAGATCCTTGGCTGCTTCCAGACTGTGAGTTTATTTTAGAATCGAGTGTTTGGATTCAGTTCAGCATCTTCTGAGCGTTTCAGTTTGCATGCTTATATTATTTAACATGATTTTTCTGATGAATGCAGCGTGAATGTCTTCAGTGGTGTGTCTCAGGTGTGTGAAGTATTCATGATCTTCAGATGACTGTCGTGTTAACCTCTAGATTTTCTGATGGCTTTAGTGTCTTTATGTTCCTGTTTTTACCTTTAATTTGTGTGTTTTTTTTTTGGTTTGCATCGCAGACGTAATTTGAAAAATGCTGTTTTTTTATTATTAGTGTTATTAGTACCTATCAATTTTATTGTTATTAATATCGTTATGGCCCTAATAAATGCCATTTTTAATATTACAGAAATTATCTGATAATATTATCAATATTGGCCAATGAATGTGATTTTTCAATATTATTGTTCTCAATCTGATAAATGCAATTTATATTATTACCGATATCAATCTGATAAATGCAATTTATATTATTACCAATATCAGCTGATGAATGCAATTTATATTATTACCGATATCAGCTGATAAATGCTATTTATATTATTAGCGATATCAGCTGATGAATGCTATTTATATTATTACCTATATCAGCTGATAAATGCTATTTATATTATTACCGATATCAGCTGATAAATGCTATTTATATTATTACCGGTATCAGTTGATGAATGCTATTTATATTATTACCGATATCAGTCTGATAAATGCTATTTATATTATTACCGATATCAGCTGATAAATGCTATTTGTATTATTACTGATATCAGTTGATGAATGCTATTTATATTATTACCGGTATCAGTTGATGAATGCCATTTATATTATTACCGATATCAGTCTGATAAATGCTATTTATATTATTACCGATATCAGCTGATAAATGCTATTTATATTATTACCGATATCAGTTGATGAATGCTATTTATATTATTACTGGTATCAGTTGATGAATGCTATTTATATTATTACCGATATCAGTTGATGAATGCTATTTATATTATTACCGATATCAGTCTGATAAATGCTATTTATATTATTACCGATATCAGCTGATAAATACTATTTATATTATTACCGATATCAGTTGATGAATGCTATTTATATTATTACCGATATCAGTTGATGAATGCTATTTATATTATTACCGATATCAATCTGATAAATGCAATTTATATTATTACCAATATCAGCTGATGAAT